GCAGGGCCTCCACGGGGTCATTCCTTCTCTGGAGGCTTCCCCCCTTGCTTCCTGAACGGCCCCAGGCCTGGTGTGCGGCGAGGACGGTGGCGGTGGTGGGCTTACTCTGGCTGCTGCGGGGAAGGGCGAGCGTAGACTCCAGGGAGGCCCCTCTGCCTGCAGAGACCCCAGGTGCAGCCCTGGAAGGGGATGAGAAGGCTTCTGAGGGGCTACTTAGTGCCAGGAGCTGTCTCAGGCTCATCTGTGGGGTGCTGGGGCCACGCCCCTTGAAAGAAAGGGGTGTGTTGGGGGGGGATGGGAAGGAACTGAGCCTCTGCCCCTCAGCCAAGCTCCTACCTCCAGCTTCCTGTCCCCTGGTGCTACCTACCCCTCCAGCAGGTGCTTCGGTCTTCAGTCCTGTAGGGGTGGTGCTACCCTATATGTCTCCAGCCCTCTGGGAACACCCCCAATTTCCCAAGTTTCTAGTTGGGGGTAAGCAGGGGGTCGGGGTGCTGCATTAGGCTGGCCCATAGTCTGCTGGATCTGGGAAGCACTCAGCTAGTGCCCTGGGCAGAGGTGCAAAGCAGGGATTCTGCTTCAGGGCCAAGCTGTCAGGCAGTGGGGAAGTGGCAGCTTGGAGCCCACCAAAAGTGTCTTCAGGCACAGAGGACAGCATGGGTGGAGGCTTGGGGGTCTGTACAAGGTTGGCTGCGCTATGTGTTCTTGGGTTTGGAGCCAGACAAGATGCTGTGGACAAAGCCACATCTGGCCAGGAGTATGGGACTCCAGGGAAGACCAGAAGCTGGCACCTTCTCTGGAGAGCAGGACTCCAAAGTCTCCAGGTAGAAGAGATTGGGCCATTGGAGACCATCTCCTGTGACCTCCTATAGGGTGGGGCAGGGTGACAAGGCAAAGCAATCCTGTGGCTGCTGAGAGGGAACCACTAGGTGAGATGACAGCTAGACCAGCCTGTCCACACCCATTAGGCTCCAGACCATCAGGACACAGGGAGCAAGCTGTCCCCATGTGAAGGCTCTGAGGTCTTTGTTTCTGGGCAAGAACCATGGTGTCATCCAGGGAGAGGGCAGGGTACCAGCTCTGTGTGGGCGACTGGAGGCCTGTTCCAGAGTGGCCCCAGCTGAAGCCCCACCTATAAGCCTGGCCTCTCTCCCTGGGTCCGTACTGTACACACCCAGTACCACCATAGTCCTCCTGTTCAGCTTCTCACTTGTCCATGTTGGGAGCTATGACCATTTGTGCTGCCCCATCTGCATTTCCAGCAGGTGTGTTCTCCCCACTACCTTTCTAGAACACCTCCACCCCACCAGTATCCACTGGACCTGGCTCTTCTAACGCAGGTGCAAAGGCTCTTCTGGGAGCTTCTGGGAGCTAAGGTGGCCAGGCAGCTCACAGAACCCAGAGCCTGTCTGGTCTGCTCCCCTCCCCCAGCCTGGCCCAGAACCCAGTATCAGGCCCTGCTTTGCAGGCACATACTGTTTTCTGAGTGGACTTGGCCCCTTTCCTGCCTGGGGTCTCTACAATAGCTCTAGGTTAGTCCCTTTTTATCGGGGGCTGGCTGTGTGACCTTGGATTTGTCTGAGTCCTGAGTGTAGTCTCTAAACTAGAGAAAGTAGCCCCTGGTAGTCTTTGTGTGTGGTAGGTGTGGGCTTGGGATACCCTCTTTCGTGGCCGGCTGCCCTGAGGCCTATCCCTTCCCATTAGCTTCTGTTGGGAGGCGGGGGAGTGGGCCCAAGGCCAGGCTGGAGTTTGGATGGTGGCTTCTTCAGCCAGGTCCCTCCTGTTTAATATAAAAAGTAGGGCCCGTAATTGCATTAAGACGTGTATAATTATCCCGGAGGAGGGGAGAGCCCAGCCCCTGGTAATTGCAGGCCTGCTTTGAACTGATAAACGGTGAGTGATTCATGTTTTCTTTGGAGTTCACATGGAATCAGTGCTCAGCCCAGGCCCGTTTTGTTTGCAAGCAACCTGCTGTCTAGTCTGCTTTGGTTTAGGGGGTAGGAAGCTGGTGGGGGTGTCTCTCTTCTTGTCTGCCTGTGGACACAAGGGGCACAAGGCAGCTGACAGCCTGCTGGGAAGTTTCCTGCAAGGTGGTACCACCCTGCATCTGCTCTGGGATTTATGCCAACATTTTTGCTGCCCTGAACCTCAGTTTCCCCATCTGATTTCAGGTTGAGGATAGCTTTGTTCAGGCCTGGCTGGCCACTCCTAGTGCCGTGACTCACTTGTTCACTCAGTCACAAGTGTTTGCCAAATCTGCTTGGGCCCAGTGGCTCCGGAGAGAAAGTGTGACCTACAAGCACCCAGCTTATGTCCTTTGGGGAGGACATTTGAGCAATAAGTAGCCAGAGCCACTAACCAGGCCTGTGCCATGGATTAAGGCAGATGAGTGAGTGCTAACAGGTAGGACATCCTGGCAGGGCCCAAGGTTCAGCCTGCCTGCATGAGCAGGTGAGAAGAGGCATCTCAGGCTTACCTGAGCAGCTGTGGGTCAGAGCAGAGCAAGGTGCCTTGTACTCTAGAGCAGCACATGGAAGATTAAGGGCTGAGCACCGGTAACTAACTTCCTGCCTCTGGCTAGCTCCACACCTGGACTTGCAGAAGGTACCATCTTTAAGCCTCCATGTCCCCAGCTGTGAATGGGGCTGTGGGGAAGGGCAGTGTGAAGGAGTATAAACAAGTTGTGTATACTGGCTGACTGCCCACTCGCCACACTAAACACTGTCATGGTCAGACATCAGCCGAGGAGTGGGGTAAGAGTATCCCCCCCAAGACACACACCAAGCCCACAGGGCAGGCCCTGCTGTGCTGTCCTCAAGAGTGTGGTGCCTGTCAGTCAGGACATGAACTTCAAACTGTTTCATCTACCAGGAAGGAAGTGTTGCCATCCCTTTGGAGACTAGGGAAACATTTGACCAACACTGCTCAATCCTGGAAGGTGACACTTTTCAGGTGCCATGGGAACACAGCTGTATTTGAGGTGTCGTGCTAGGGTTTGGGAAGCAGTGCAGGTCCAAACAGTGGCCCAAACTGCCTCATGGAGTCCTGACAGTGGGTAGACTGGGTGGAGGAGCCAGGGTGGGCAGAGGGCACTGTTGAGGACTGGGACTCAGGAAGCCCTCCCTCTCTCTAGAGTCCTTGCTGTTGTTGCTGAGAGTGCACTGTGAGACTGGAGTGCCTGGAAGGAGGCATTGTGGGGAGGGCCCTCTGCCTGGGAATGTGGGGATTCTAGTGGGAGGGAGTTGCTGCCACTAGATACATCCTTACAGTGTCAGCCTTGAGGTTTGTAAGATGCTGGGCCAAGGTCAGCCAGGGAGCAGTGCCAGAGTTAAGACCCTGTAGAAGTTGCACAGACTAGCCTAACCCAAGCTCAGAACTATTGCCATGTGGCTGTGGAACTGGGGAGTGGAGGAGGCTCTTTCTGTTGGTCCTTGTGGGTATGGATGCTGTGCTGGGGGCTGTTTAAAGTCTTAGGGGAGTAGTCCACACATCAGAGAGAGTCTAATAGTGTGGGACATGGCTGCCCTGAGCCAAATAGAGCTGGGAGTCACCAAGGCAGCTGACACTCTGTGAAGGAGGGTATGTGTACTACAGTCTATCTCTGTTCAGTTTTGGGTGGGGGACACTGATGTAGGGACCATGTCACTCATTTGAGATTGAGGATCTTGAGGGGTCTTGATCCTCAGGGCATGGCCAGGTTCTGGGTCAGGGTCATGTAAATTCCAGACCCTTGAAAGATGCCCTGTGTTCCTGGGTCTATTCTTATCTTACTAGGAGTGGCAGGGCACAGATTCTAGTGGAGCACCATGCTCCGGGCAGGTATCCTGTTTTGCTGCTGCTAGCTATAGTGACAGTTGGTTCAGCCTGCATGCCTCAGGACATGGATGTGCCTCCTTTGCTCTGATCTGTCTGGGTACTGGTAGTGGTCTTTTGGAGGTATCTCCAAACACACACATGTGGAGAACTCAGGAAATGAGGAGGCCATATATGGATGCCCTGTGCTTATGTGGGCAATGCCATACTTATATCCTCTCTTGCTTATTCTTTACAGGGCCAAGAAACCCAGTCCCATGATGCTCACCCCTATAGGACCTGAATACCTTGACTTGAGGCCCCAGCCCACCATGCCACTGCCAACCCTGAGCCCTCGGACACTGCTGCTGCTGCTGCTGCTGCTGTTGAGGGGTGTGTGGATGGCCATCAGCTCACCCCCAGCTGGTGTGGGTCCACAACCTGCCTTCCGCACCTTTGTGGCCAGTGACTGGGGCCTTACCCACCTAGTGGTTCACGAGCAGACAGGAGAGGTATATGTTGGCGCAGTGAACCGTATCTACAAGTTGTCAGGGAACCTAACCCTGCTTCGCGCCCATGTGACGGGCCCCGTAGAAGATAATGAGAAATGCTACCCACCCCCCAGTGTACAGTCATGCCCACATGGTCTGGGGAGCACAGACAACGTCAACAAGCTTCTGCTGCTGGACTATGCTGCCAACCGCCTGTTGGCCTGTGGCAGTGCCTCACAGGGCATCTGCCAGTTCCTGAGGTTGGATGATCTCTTCAAGCTGGGGGAGCCACACCACCGCAAGGAGCACTACCTGTCCAGTGTCCGAGAGGCTGGGAGCATGGCAGGAGTACTCATTGCTGGGCCACCTGGCCAGGGCCAGGCCAAGCTCTTTGTAGGCACACCTATTGATGGCAAATCAGAGTACTTCCCCACGTTGTCCAGTCGCCGGCTCATGGCCAACGAGGAAGATGCTGACATGTTTGGCTTCGTGTACCAGGACGAATTTGTGTCATCTCAACTCAAGATCCCATCAGACACACTGTCCAAGTTCCCAGCCTTTGACATCTACTATGTGTACAGTTTCCGCAGCGAGCAGTTTGTATACTACCTCACCCTGCAGTTGGACACGCAGCTTACCTCGCCTGATGCCGCTGGTGAGCACTTCTTCACCTCCAAGATTGTGCGGCTGTGTGTGAATGACCCCAAGTTCTACTCTTATGTGGAGTTCCCCATTGGCTGTGAGCAGGCTGGAGTGGAGTACCGCCTGGTACAGGATGCCTACCTGAGCCGGCCAGGCCAGGCCCTAGCCAAGCAGCTGGGCCTTGCTGAGGATGAGGACGTATTGTTCACCGTGTTCGCACAGGGCCAGAAGAACCGTGTGAAGCCGCCCAAGGAGTCAGCGCTGTGCCTGTTCACACTGCGGGCCATCAAGGAGAAAATCAAAGAGCGCATCCAGTCATGCTACCGTGGAGAGGGCAAGCTTTCATTGCCTTGGCTGCTCAACAAGGAGCTTGGCTGTATCAACTCGGTGAGAGAGGGTAGGGGTATGGGTGGGGGCTTCTGCGATCCTTCCTGTGGTCACATCTTATCTACACACCTTGGCGTCCCTGTTCTATCCTGGGCCTGTTTTCTGCTTTTTCCCCAGCCTGATCCCCAGCCCTGTGAAGCAGGACCCAACATACCAGCCCCAAAGTCTGCTCTTAGCCATGACATCACCCATGCCTTAGGAAGTGGGTGATAGCACCTGTCCACACAGCTCCAAAGCTCTCGGGGACATTGAATGATAATGACCATTTTTAGATTGCTCCCCTTTTACAGATGAGGTTATAGAGGCTAAAGGTAGTTTGACTTACCCAGGGTCATACAGCCAGTACAAGGACCCCAGACACTGTTTCTGTGAAGCTTATCACCCCCAGATCTTCCTGGCAGGATGCCTGTCTCCTGGAACTCCACCATGCCCAGTGCTGGGGGTTGAATGCATCATAAGATGCACTCTGAGAGAAGCCCTGACACAGAGGCAGCCCAGCTACCCTGTGTTGGATACTCTGTAGCCAGAGTTCCCTGCCTCCTCTAGGGCGGCCATAGGCATGGCCGGGGCTCTGAATGCAGAGGGGAGATGAAGACACGTTTCTCTTGTCTTCTCAGGAAAGGAATTGTGTCCCCACATGTATTCTGGATGCCCCAAGACCTGCTCATTACTCCCTGATTATTTCTCAGGGATTCCCAGCCTAGCTGGCCTCCCCCCCCCCATCCAGATCAGTGGCTTCTACCCCAGCAAACCACAGACCCCAGAGGAGAACCAGCTGTTCTCTTCCTTCTCCCCCAAACTCCTGTCCTGTCTATTCACCCTCCTCCTCGCGCCTCCACTCTAAGCCATCACCGGAACCTCGAGTATTGATTGCTTCCTGCCGGCACAGCAGGTCCTTCTCTGTGCCTTCTGGGTGTGCCCACTCCCTCCTGCCTTAAACATTATCTTTGTCTACATGCAAGGTGCAAATGTAAGATTTGCAGAAGGAAGACTTCTTTTGGCTGTCCCCCAACTCTAGGCTGTTCCTTCCTTTGTCCATCCTGACTGTTCCTGGAGTGGCTGGCCTGGTTCCATGGTTGTGGACTCTATAGCTCACCCGCCTTTCCTTCAGGTCACCCCCTTTGGGTTTTTCTCCCGCTCTGAGCACATTCACTGGACTTGGACTGCTTCGTGGACCCTATTTCTTTCCCGGAATTTTGTAGACCTTGTTTAGGTCTGGGTGGCTATACAGCACCCCTCACTCCCACCCTGGGCCTGCCTTCCCCAGCCTTGTCCCCTGCTGTGTTCAAGGTGAAGGTGCTTATAGCTGCTAAATGCTTACCTTGCCACTTCTTACAGCCCCTGCAGATCGATGACGACTTCTGTGGGCAGGACTTCAACCAGCCACTGGGGGGCACGGTCACCATCGAGGGCACACCCCTTTTTGTGGACAAGGATGATGGCCTGACTGCTGTGGCTGCCTATGACTACCAGGGCCGCACCGTGGTTTTTGCTGGCACTCGCAGCGGCCGCATCCGCAAGGTCAGGCCTGTGTGGGCTTTGAGGGGCCACCCTGGGTAGTGTGTGTGTGTGTGTACAGGTCCCATCCCAGGGAGGGAAGCTAGATTATCTCTGACAGGGAGCCTGCATCTGTGCATGAGGTGGATGGGTGCATGCCTCTCTGTGCCAGGCTCAGTGACCTTGAAGGGCTTAGATCTCCAGGTGTCTCTGAAGGGGCTCCTTCTTTCTGGGTTTCCCATGGGAAGTTTTCCTCTGTCCCATTGTGTATCTGGGGGCCCAAGGGTAAACGAGGCTTTGCTCTGCTATACAAGACTTTCGGGTACATTATACAGAAGCCTGGGACCTAGAGGACCGCTTGGGTATCTAGAGGCTAGAGGGGAAGCTTGTATGGATGTTGGGCTGGGCAGGACTTTGCAGTCCCCCTCCCCATTGAGTCCTACTTTCAGCCCTGGGAGATATGGTGTCTGCTGAAGCAGCACTCCAAGTCAGCCAGCCCCACTCCCACCCACCATGCAGCAAAGCAATGCCAAGGCCAAGGGCAGGGCAAGGGGAGTGCCCCGCCCCCACCACACCATAGCCTGGTGCCTAGGTAGTGGGTGACTTGAGTGACCAAGGGCCCAGCTCAGGCCTTGGGGTAAAGCTGGTTCTGTGTACTGGCCTGTTTGATTTCTAGACTCTTCCTCTCTAGGACTGGTTGGACAGGGAGGGTTTCCAGATGCTATGAGTCTGCCTGTCACTGGGTAGGCAGTGGGTGGGGTCCCACCTGAATGGAGGAAGCCTCTAGTAACACTGAAAGGTGGAGTTGCCTGGGTACCCAGAGGACCATCAAGCAGAGCCAGGAGATGAAATAACAGCTGAGAGCTCTTGCTGACACAGCCCTCCCTCCCTCTGGCCTGCCTGCTCGTGTGGCTGTGGGTGAGACTGGGCCCAGGGCCAGAAAGGCCTGGCTGCTCTCGCCCCCCTAGCCTTGTATGTGGAAACCATGTCTCAGCCTTCCTGTTCTGGGATCTCTGGAAAACCCTCATTCTCAGTGTCACTACTCTGGACTGGGGTGTTGCTGATGTTCTTGAGGCCTTGGGACTTGAGCTGGTAATTGAGGGGTAAGAAAGGAATCCATGGATTCTCTACAATATAGTCCTGACACTTGGCCAGTGGAGGTGGGTGGTTGAGCGACTCAGACCAGACCTCTGCTGCCCTTGGAGACCTGTCCTGTTTGTTGTGACTCCCAGGTGGTGTATGTATGCCCTGGAGCTCCAGTGTGGCCTTTTCTGTAACTTAAGAATGCCTCAAGGAGGTACATGGGACTGGGGAGCCACTGAAAAGGGTACAGTAAATAAACCTAGAGACATTCTCTTGGGGTTCCCTAGTGCCTACCTACTAGTTGGAGATGAGCTTCTATGATTGGGAGTGTCCCTTTTGATGTCCTGTGGACTGAGGGGGTGGCAGATAGGCCCAAGTGAGGCTGGGAAAACAGGTCCCTCCAGTCCTATCTCCTTGCTGCCTCCTGGGCCCCAGGGGCCCCTTTGGTTACCAGCTTTGGCTGGCAAGCTCAGAGTATACCTGTTCCCCAGAGTGTTGGTTGGCAATGCTCCCACAGAGAGGAAACTGAGTCCTGGAGTATGGAACCTTGGAGGTTATCCATGAGCAGAGGCTGCATTGTGAGCCGTATCTGTGGCAGAGGTTGAATTGCCAGCTCTGCCCCATTCCTCTCTCCTGCCTCCCCTCTCCCTCATGCCCAAGATAGCATGTGGGTGAGCTGGTAGGAGTGGGGTCCCCTTTGCTGTCTAGGCCGGGTTACCCCCTTGAGATTTTGTTTGGACAGCCATTAGACCATCCAGCTGAGGAACTGGTTCTTTGCCCCCAGCCAGTGTCCTCGTCAGGTCAAGGGCCTCTGTTCCTGCCCACCAGAGCCTTGCCCGTGACTTTGGCTCCTTGCATCCCTGGTGCAGGTGGCTAAGTGCAGCTCTTGAGTGGATGGGGCTTTTTGGGGTATATGGGATTAGCTGCAAGGGGCAGAGTGTGTGTAAAGTTAAACCGACATTTCTTTTAGATGTCTGTGGTTGAACTGGGTGCATGCTGTGCCACTCAGGGCATGATATAATAATGTCATAGGACCCCTGATATCTGACCCTTTTCACCCATTCTACCTGTCCCAGTCATGGGAGTTCATGAAAATAGTTCAACAGGTGTTCCTGCTTATCTATCATCTGTTGCCAGTGTTGTGCAAATGAGGTGTCTCTGAAGTTTTGTCAGCTCTCCTCTCTGGCTGTGTGAGCCTTTCTCGGCTTTCTTTTCAGTACTTCTCTGGAGCCTAACAAGTCCTTTCATGTGAGTGGCATGCAGAGTGCCCATGTGACTGACTCACCAAAATCCTCACAACCATCCCAGCATCTGTTTCACAGATTGGGAAACTGAGGCACAGAGCAGTCATGTCACATGAGTCCAGGGCCTTGCTCCCTCCCTCCTCTCTTCAGTGGGTTCTTGGAGGATGACTAGAACCTAGCAGGGCTCTGAGACTTAGGCTCTGCTTCAGTGACTCTGAGGAGCCCATTTCCTTGCTTCCCTTTTCTTAGTTGCTGGTCCCCAGAACTGCATGCAGGGCTGCTATGGTGGCCTTTGAGATTGTGGTGGCCTCCATGCAATACCTTTAAGTTGTCCCTGGGGGTAGGGTAAAGTCCCCCTCTACCTCCTGGCTTGGAAATGCCTGTAACTCCCACTACTGGGCCTGGGGCCTGGGGCCTGGGGCCTGGGGCCTGGTACACTTCCAGGCAACAAGGTTCCCACAGCCTGTACCTCCCCAGGTCATGACCCTGACAGATGGACAACTTTCTATGGTCCCCTGTTCAAGCTAGTACTAGCCCTTTGCCTGTGGACTGCAGGCCACCTCCTGCATCTGGGTTTTGGAGTGGCCTCATGAGCCCTCTTGTTTTTATCCATGCTCCCCCCATCCCTAAGGCTTCTGGGCCTGGCTCTGCTGACTGACCAGTTGTACACAGGGGTGTCCATGGCCCCATCTCCTCCCCCACTCTCAGCACTGTGTGTTGGAGCCTGGACTCTAGGGACCCCAGGCCATTGCCTGACCTAGGGCAGGCAGGCTGGGCTGGCCCCTCCCATCTTTCCCAGGCCTGGGACTTCCAGGGCTTTAAAAAGCATCTAGGGAGCTCCAGAGACTTGGCTGGCCCTAGGCCAGGCCCTGCCAAACGTGTTGTTGTGTAAAATTGTAGCGATTAATTTAAGACCTGCCAACTTCAGCTGCTCAAGGCTGGCTGGGGTGCCCCTACCTCCCCCTTCTTCCCCAGAGCCCTGCCTGCCAACGGGACCCTCCCCCCCAATAGAGGCCATCTCTCTAGAATGCCCCTCCCAGCATCCTGCTGGGCCCCCAGAGCCCTAGCCCTGTGAGTAGCTCCCCCTACAGCCTCCAAAGAGCCATTTCTAGCTAGAGTTCCCAGTTGCAGCCCTTGTTTGGTCCTGCAAGATGACCCAGGTACCTTTACAAAAATAGGCTCTGGACTCCTGCCAAGTACTTGCTCCAGGCTACTACAGAGCTGGGGTACCCCAGGCCAGTCACCCTGTCCATTTGTATGTCAGGGCCAAGGAACTGTGCACTCTGAGGTCCAGCCAGGTTCTCTGGTAAGTGAGCCAGATAGAATATTCTCTGCTCCCCACCCCCGGGAGAATCTGGATGTCTATATTTTTTTTGTGTGTAAGAGTTTGTTCAATGTTGGTAATTAACCCACATTTTCAGAAAGTTCTGTGAGGCACCTAGTATGCTTTTGCACCACTAGTTTGGGGCCAGAGACCCACACTATGACATTATACAGCTGAGGAAAAGCATCACAAGCCAGTGGGGGTACCAAGACTGAAGGAACGGCCTGAAGGAATATTCCATCTTATTGGGCCAGTTTGGGGTCCATCTATTAAGGAGGTCTACCCTGGCTCTCCTGGTACCTCCTTCCTTTCCTGGACTTGCATGAGTCTAAGCTTCCCTGTGAGCTATCCAGATGCTTGGAGAGGGTAGAAGACAGGACTGGAGTATGGATAAGGGCAGGGCCAGCGGTATTTATTACGATCCAGGATCACCATACCTTCTGCCTTCTTGCTGCTGTGAGTCTCTGCAACAGAGGTGTGGCTGTGGTACCCAGTGCCCTGCCAGACCCATGTTCACAGACTTTGAAGGCCTCACCTTCATGCCCATTTGTCCAGGCATAGATGTCTGGCTCTCCCAAGGGTGTGTGCTCCCCAGGGTGTTAATCAGTGTCTTCACATGTTCTGAAAGGTGGGTACAGCTCTGCTCAACACATCTGAAGCCTGGAGCAGAAGTGAAACCTCCAGCCAGCTTGCTATGCAATTCAAGTGTGCTGATGGCCTTTTTCATTTACAGCTGTTTCTACTGCTAGCAGAGTCTGTACTGCTGCAGCCTGGCTGCCTGGGTACAAACAGCCCCTCCTCCCCCCACAGGCCCTTGACCTTGGATGCCTCCAGCTTGCCCTCTTTGCCTCTGCACCCAGCCCTGCTAGAGACCCTGTGTCCTCAGAGGCACCCATAATGGTGCCCACAGTGAAGACTCACTGGGGACACATCACCTTCCCCAGATCCCCGCCCAGGCTCTGTCCATTCCAGGGATGCCCTCGTTGACCTCTTGCGGCTATCGTGCTGGGAATGGGCTGAGTCATGTGCATTTCCTTTGTGTCCTTTGCTCAGCTACTGTGAGGTTCATCTTGACCACGGTGCCAAGCTGTGGCCTGCTCTGGATCCATGAGCTGCACAGTGTGTGGGCTACATGCAGGTCAAGCATGCAACCCTCTGCTTGGCATGCAGTGTTTCATGCAACACTTCTGCAAGAACCCAGCCTTTGGGGGATAGGTTTTGACTGTGTTGGGAGGAGCTGCTAGACTCCTTCTTGATCTTTTCGTCCAACCTCTGATGTCTTGTTCTAAGCCCTAGGTGGGAGACCCGTGACTCTGCTTGGCAGGACCTGTTTCTGCTTTCTCCCTCTGCTGGCTGTGGGTAGCGAATGGAGG